AGGATCACTTTTGGAGAATCATTGCATACGTAATTATATAACTTGACAATGTCAATTCAGCTCGTTGATTCTACATTTCATATGTCGTTAATACCAGTATGTTGAGTGGGACCGGTTGTTCTTAGTTGCAAATGAGCAGTGACAGATCGTGGATGCAGGACCGAGCTTCTAGTAGATGCGGATTCGAGCAGCATTGACGCCTTGATTGAATTTGGTTTGCTGGCTGTGGAAGGTGCGTATGTAGATACAATCACTCGGGCAACTAACACAATCAGCAAACGTCATCATTCCAAGCTATACCATGCAAAGGAAATGGAAGCCACATTATATATATATATTATATCAAACCCAGACGTGAAAAACACCCAGTCATTGTGCAACACAAAACTTACCTAATTTTCGTACCTTGTCCACGCAGTCTTTAGCAAATCGAGGAAGAGATCGAGCAGGCCATCAGCTTGCTAGAAGCACAAGGTCACGCTGTGAAGACCACTATCTTCGCTGAACCCGAACGGAGGGAAAACAGAAACTGGACTGAGTTCCTGCTGAAACCGAATGTGAGCTTCGAGGCTGTGGGGCGATACCAGAAGGCCGGGGGGATTGTTTTCAGACATCCATCGTTGCCTTATGTTGCCTTGTTCAATGCTGAGAAATGTATGATTTAGCATTGCCAAACGCAAAAGATTAATACAGGTCGGAATGCCCTGTATAACTCAGCAGTGCCATCATGACTTGCCTGTTCTTCGTGCTTGAGCCCGAACGAGGCGGATCCAAACGATGAGGCCATTGAATGCTTCATGCGCAAGCTTTCTGGCCGACCTGGTCTTTATTGCATGGCCCTCCTGACCAGAGACACTGATTTCATTCCCGCCACCCTTGATCTCCAAGCAAGCGGAACACACATTTGTGTACTTGTGTGCGCGCTAATGCATAGTGTGAGTGGAAAGTATAAGGCTGCTGGAGTGAAGACATTCACATTGAACGCCCCGGAACGGAGATCATCTCGAGTCAGAGCCATCCTCCATGATACAGGGGACGGCTCTGTGGAGCTTGCGGATCCTTGGACTAGCTTCGAGCAGAAAGAAAAGTCGCTAGAAGTCATGAAGTTTCTGGAGGATTTTGGCTATAGAGATGGTACAGGATTTACCATCCAAGCCGCAGCCAAATTCTGGTTTGCTAACAGCTTGGGTTCGCTGGTAGTTTTTCCTTCTCAGCTTGCTACAATTTCTTTGAGTGATCTTGTGCGAAGTCATGGGACCAGAGGTTGGGAGCGATATTCTGGGGAATTGGCCTACATTTTGCCTATCTCCAACAAGGGTAAGAAGAGAGACACAAGAGTCTTGAAGTATGGCTCTTCGGCAGCATGTGCCGTCTATCAAGGCGGCGGTCCTTTCATACTGAAGAAATCGGCTGACTTGGCAACTCAGGTGTTAAAGAGGCTCGGATATTTGGATGATGACTTGAATGCCAACTTGACCGAAGCCCTGCGTTGCTTTGTAAACGCAGCAGAAAACAAGAAGGTGTTGAGAAAGTTTGGCATCCTTCCTGATACTATGTACAAAGGCCAATGCATGATTGACCATCTCAACACGGCCTTCTGTTCCCACATAACTCCTGGCACATGGCAAATGATGACTTCTCAAGAAGCGTTGAGACTTGAAGTGGGGACAATACTCGAGAAGGCAAAGATTCTTAGCAAAGCTGACCGTGGTTGCAGCCGCAACAAGTTTTTCAACGCAATGAAGGACTTTGCTCGAAATCGCCATTTGCCGATCATGAAAACATTCAATGGGCAGGCCTTCCAAATCAGGAGGGACAGCGTGAAGCTGAGTCCTTGCAAGAGGCATACGATTGAAATCGAAGATTACTAAATGCCTGGCAGGGTGGTGCTTTATCACCCCATTAGAGACGTTCGTTGTTCTTCGCGCTTTGTGGCCTGTTACCCTTGTATACACAGCACATGCATTGTTGGTCCATTCCATGTTATCCTGCTTTCCCCAAGGCACGTGTGTTAAATCTTGTCATGACATGTTACGTTTGTACTTGCGTATATTTGCAATTATTTGCATATGGTTTTCTCTGTCGCGTTTGATTGCAATCCTTTAGAAAAGGACCGACTTCATAGGACATACAATAGGAGGCTTCGCTGGTTTGCTAGCACCTGCGACTCGTTTAGAGTGCGGAATCTGGCTGAGCCGTGCCAGTTAGGGAAGGAACGCGTGGTGTGAAGCGATTGGAAAAGGTGCGGTCATGGGACGTCTCATTGACAGGACATGTTAGAAGAAACGGTTTGATCCAGCAATATCCTGATGACACATTTAGATGGGTTAGAATGCACGTCCACCAAAGCAAAACAAACTTCTCAACCTGGTGCCCTCAGCTTCTTTGTCACATCGTCCAAAGCAGGTAAAGCTCCTTCTTTGTAGCTCCAAAGCTCCACACGTGAGGCTTCAGCTTGGCTAAGACCTCGTGCTTCCAGCAGGGCCTTCAGCGTCTGGCCGAGTCGCAGCCGTGGCTGCCCGGGGCCCCGGTAGCAGAAGATCGATGATGAGGAAGTTCTGTGGTCACTTGTGTCTCAGAACTTCCTCGAAAGTGCTTCCTGTGCGGTGGCCTTGAATGGGGGCTCTTTTCACTTAGTTTGGTAAAGGAGGCGGAGTGTAAGGCCATGAAGTCCGGCCCCCAGGGAGTCCTTTTCTATCACCAAGCTGTTTGTCAGATGAGAAGGCAGGAAGAGTTGTGGCTCACGAAAGTCTCATCGAGTTTCCTGGGAGGATTTCTATTCCAATGTCGAACGCGTCCACTGCTTGCAAGAACTTTGTTTGTAGGCCGTCTTGAGTGCTGAGTTATTTTCCTCCATCTTCACTGGTTTCGGCATCACCAGCCGAGGTACACCTTCCACATCAAAGAGAATGGTTGGACATATCTTGAGGTGTTGAACATGTGATCTTCAGAGCTGTTGGACAACCTTTGTCAATCCGGTCCTCCCCCACTCTAAACGCTGAGGCCAGATCTCATGCAGCGGAAGGGCGCGCTGGGCGTGGCCATTGCGGCTGCTGGGTGGCAGTGGGAGACATCGACCATCAAGGGCCAAAGGGGATTGGTCGGTACAAAACTTGGCTCACTCATGTGTTCATAAAAAATAAGCAACCAGTTAGTGGGTAAAATTCAGACTAAGTAGCGAGCCAGACCAACAGCGAGCCTCTGCTTATCTCTGCTTATTGTTCTGATAGTGGCTCATCACGTCATGCCGACCATCAGGGGACTTTCCCTTTCAGTATTGGGACGAGGTACTGTAAGTCCAGTTTGAATCAAGATCGTACACCGATGCTCCAAGCACCCCCAGCCATTCTAAAGGACCGATCACAGAAATTCACGGGGCTATGGGCTTGCTGATGATAGGGAGTTTTTGCTGGGGAGGCCAACACACCACGGGGCTAACCCTCACAGACCGGACCGTTCCGGTGTGCGATGGCGCTCCTCGAGGCCCTACTGCCGATCCCTTTGGCCTTAGCCACCTGGACGGCGCGCTGAGAAGTCGATGGGGTCGATCGTAGGGGGCAGGCAGGTGTGGTACATCAGGGATCATCATGGTGCATCAGGTAGAAGGAATTGTCAAACATGTTCGTGTTAGTTTTCTGCAGGCTGCATGCAGGGGGAGTTCCTTTCTCATCTGTGCGTGGCGGTGCGTGGCAGGGAAGGTAGGAAGAGTGTGGAACAACTTACTGTATGTTCTCTCGTGTATACAATAGCTTTTCTACCTCCTATGTTACATAGGTTCCTGAATGAAGCCAATCCTTCCATGGGTCAAACTTGGACGGTCCAACTGAGATCCCTTTGCAGTTGTTCTTTTTTGATTCGTTGTTTCGGTGCAACCCGCATCCGTGTCGAGCAGGCTTAGACGGACGCCCTCAACCCGAAAAAATGGGGATATTTGAAACGCAGAGTTCGCACCGTTGGAGAGCAGAATGAGTCCCACGGTTAGCACGGTGAGATGATATGTCTTGCTTCCGTCGGGGCCACTGGGAACCCGGAAGCCACCCAACTGAGCTGTGATAGCTCAGGTCAGCGCATTGATAGCTGACCGGAACACCGCTCAGATCAGTGACAGTCCCTGAATTTCAGAAATTTCAGTGGTCAGTAGTCTGTCATGAACATTGTTTGCTCACCATGTTGACTATTGAACTTTGGTGGTTGATGGGTAGAAATCCTCAAACTGCACCAATTGGATGGCTGCTGATCCTATATACTGTCATCAAATCAATACTACCAAGCGATACCAAGCGGCTATCCAGCGATTCCTAAGATCCCCAAACTCAACCATCACCGACCCTTGTCTTGCTGGAAAGGGCTTTGCCGCGGGTCCGCCGAACCGGCACCTTCGTGGACTCCATGCCGTTCGAAGGCGGGGTCCTTCCGTGTGAACTTCCCGCAGTTCCTGATCTCCGCCGCGCCTTAGGCCTTAGGAAGCCAGAAGTTGCTGAGCAAGCTCTTCGCCAAAGACCTTCCCACAAAAGAGTTCAACATTGTCAGATACCAATTCATTGCGGGACCATGTTTCTGGTGTAATCAAGGGGATAGTTCACAAGAGGCAGGACGCGGGACTCGACCTGGTTCTTGGTCAATCATTCACTTCTCTTATGCGCTCTTATCAGCCGCAAATCCACTTCTGACTCTGCATTTCACATGTCACATTTCCTTTTTGCCAAGGTTTCGAATGCCAAAGATCCTGGTGTTTGTGCTCTTGAGCGGCTGGACCACAGAGAAAGAACTTGAATGAAAAGGATTCTGCAAGATTGAGCTGAGCAAATGTCAGTATAATTTTTTGTTTTTCATGGCGGTAGTAGATGCAGCGATTGCTGCTACAGCATGAGGTGGTGTTGCTAACTGTGCTTCCAAGGAAGACTGTGCTTGGATTGCCATAATTTGATCTTTCCAATCCTTTGCTGTCCCTGCATTGTCATGAGTCATGACAGGACAAATACATCACCGGAGCATACCGGAGCCATTTGCACTTGACGGGCGACACACGTCCGTGCACCGCCGAAAAACCGGTTGCGCTGAGCGCGAAACCTCAAAACCCTTCCTTCGCCTGCCGATGAAGCGTCCCTTCCTTTGGCTGCTGCTCCGTGCCGTCGGGCTCCATGCCATGTGGTGCGAGACGAGCGCGCGGACGGGATGCCGAGGAAAGCCACGGCAGTTGCTGCGAGAGGCACCTCACTTAGGTGCTGTGCAAGCGTTTGACCATGCCCTGTCACTGAGCAGAAAACTCGGATGTGGGTCGGGTCCTCGCATCGATCCCATGTTTCGGGTGTTAGGTCTTGAGTCTTGACCCATCCCAACACCTCACATCCTTGCCGTTCAAAAGCCAGTCCAAAACCATGCGATCAATATGGGCATCCCAGGCGAGTTAGATATCCTATTGTGCGTTTGGAGGGTGGCAAGAGGTGAGAGAGGGTCGATGAGAGGGAGGTAAGCCAGGTGGAGTGTGCGAAAAGTGCTGCCTTGGAATGGTGGAGTCTCCAATTTGAGGTCCTTAGCCCGAAATTTGCGTCTAGATGCATCTAGCCATTTGGTGAAATGGTGTTTGGTGACATGCACACTCCCAAAACCGTGGTGACTATGGTGGAAATTGAGTTCGCCCCCAGCACATGTGACACTGGATGCATCGGTGGCCTTTCGAGAGTTGCTGACATGGCAGCACCGTGCCACTGGTGAGATGTTGTTGTTGCACCACTTGTTAAGTGGGAAACACTAAAACGGGACCGAGCGAGAGATCCGTTGAGTGATTGGGCGACCGCCGCGACTGGGCGCTGAGCCACGACGAGGTCACGGGTCAAGACGGACTTTGATGAGGAGCCCATTGTGGTGGATTGGGACCGCGATGGTGATTGGGACCTGCTCGTGAGAACGCAAGACGAGCTCAAGTATTTTGAAATGAGGCGCACAAACGAAACACAATCTTCCATAAGCCTCACCGGCTCAGGATTGATATTAGGAACTCTCAACAAGCCCAGAGACTATACAAAGCAGACTTTGTGAGCTTCATGTTCAAAGCTGCTACTGCTACCATTCGGTGTTGCATTCAGTTGGGATTTGAGGGGTCCTGTCCCGGATGCTTCTCAAAGATCCAGGAGGTCTCCAAAACTCCCAAACTAGTGAACTTACAATATGAAGTGTTTTTTGTTTTTTTCTTGCTGGTAGCACACCATCTTTGTTGAGTTTGGTCTATCCGTCTATCCATTGAGAGAAAAAGGATTGTGTAGCAGACTTTGTGCTTTTGTGCTGGGCCCAAACCTACAGTTTTCACAGAGTGATTCACATACTGTAATTCCTGGAAAGCTGCCCCCCCTTGTAGTATTTGAGAAATTGGAGTACCATCTACGGTGCTGTTGTTTGCTGTCTAGACGAAGCAGCTCACCCTTTGTTCTATCAATCAAGATATCCACAGGCCCACTCAGCGAGTCTCTTACGAATGGGACGAGGCACCGATTGCAAGGCGATTCCATGCTCCTGAAGGTACGTGAAACAGCCCATGCTCCTTCGCACGTGTTAGGCCAGATGGCGAGTTTGTGCAGCTGGAGCCAAATCCCTTCAAGGATGTTGTAGCTTGGCTAAGATGTTGCGGACGTGGGATCCGGTATGATCTGACCACGTTCTTTTGTGCTGAACCCAGCTGACCCCCACTCGGAAATCCCAGTTCCGTCGGTTGTCTCCGACATGATGGGAAGCTAGTCTAGACCTAGCTACAGGTGTTGCTATGTCATGATGGGTGACCAAAGTTACACCTGGGTGTAGGTCAACATTTGCAGCCTGGATCGACATGAGAGATGCACCAACGCTTCTTTTCCCCGGGCGTGTTGAACTTTGACTCACAGCCACCACCTTTAAAGTTTTGTATTAAAAACGTTGATATGGACAGGGCCCGATTCCAATATTAAAAAAGGCAAATATAAGGTAAACCGAAAAGGCACACCAAACAAAAAGCAAAGCATTGAAATTCCAAAAGGCAAAACAATGGTAAACAATGGCAATGGACAAGGTAAGAAAAAGGCAAAGAAAAGGTACGTACTAAAAACAGCAAATTAAATTGAAGTAAGCAAAACAAAGGCACATATGTGTTTCTTTGGTGGGCGACTTTTGTTCAAGGATTGCCTTTTAATTTACCTTTAATTTGCCTTTTATACGCCTTTGGGATTTTCAATGATTTGCCTTTGCCTTTAACTTTAACTCACCTTTTTATTTACCTTTTTGGCATCTGTTTTAAAGAAATCTGAAAACATACTCTCTCCAATCACGGACCTGCGATCCTTTGAGCTATAGCTGGAGTCATGTGAAGTCCCATGCCACTCATCCATTGCCCATTGGATCCCATTCAATTGTTTCGTTGTGACCACACTGTGACCCTCCGACTCTGCGTCACCCGTCCCAAGGAAAGCCCCTTCTTGTGTCGCCCAGCCTTGGTGGATTGGAATGGCGACGGGCGCCTTGATGTGCTTGTGGCATCCGTAGACGGGATCCGCTACTATGAGCCTTGGCATAGTCTTTTGCAGCTGACTGGCGACGCGGAATATGCTATGTATGCTAATATGGACAATCAAGCCGAGGCTTTTCCACTTCGAGCCCCTTTCAGGATCTTTCAGGTTAAGCCGCACTTAAGGCTAGGAGTTTGAACAACTTTGCAATGCAGTTGAAGAAAAGTCTTCAGCGCTACGTAGAGGCCCTAGTTTAGAAGTCGTATTCAACATTTTTTGCCAGATGTTAGTTGATGATGATGGTGGGTTCCAATGACGTTGTTGTGGAAGTGATGATGGTACAATTTTGCAAGCCCACCGTTGCAAGCTCCTACAGATTTGGGTTGAGTTTGGTGAGTTTCTTGTTCTTCAAGAAGATACCCCAGATGAAGCGCAGACCAGATGCAGATGCAGCACTCAAACCGCTGCAAATGGCGTAATACATGGATTTGCTGAAGGGGCAGGGCTGTGCCATATTGTGTGGCATTAGTTATAGAATGTGTTTTGCACTTCAACTAAAGTCAATAGAAGTTGGTGATTCGGCAGCGACTCTGGTACTCCAGCTTTTGGGCTGAGTTGCTTCGACCACACTTGAGTTTGCCAAATCACGATGCTGTTGAGTGAGGCTCTTGTTTTTGGCCTCCATAGTCAAGGTGGTTTTCAGGCATTGAGATTCTATGAGTTGCGAGTTTGGCACTGGTGTGTGGGTGCTGAATTGTTTTGGGGCCCAATTGCACGTAATTAAACGCGCGCACGCGACGCTGCTGTGCCCCAGCAGAATCAGGTTTCACGTGCATTGTAACGCACGTATGGTATGGTTTCGTGCATCCTGTATGGCAAGTCGACATCCCAACATTGTCATCGATGTCAGAACATTGTCATCGACATCACAACCCCATGTATGTTTTTGTATGTCCATGTTATGTATGTGAGATGGAAAGAGAGTAAGTTCCGCTGGGCACTCAACAACTCTCTGTGGACGTTGCAGTGGAGAAAGAATGGTTGTTTAGCTGAAGCCATACTGTGTGTCGGGGGGGCAAAATGAAGATGATTTGTCCGTTTACAAGGGAATTTCAATCGTCATCGGCGCGCGCTTACGGCCAATCGGCCCGTTGTTTTGGTATTGGTATTTGGTTGGTAGGTAGATCAGCACCCGACCAAATTAAATACCCCATTCATCCCGATTGATCCCCTTCGTGCCAAGTGCTGTGAGTTTTCCCATTCCGCACTCAGGAAAATATGCCGGGCAGCCTGGAAGAACGCACCGGAGCTCAGAACCCCTTCAATTTCATTGCCGGAGGGAATATTTGTGGAGACTTGGCCGTTGCGGATTGGGACGGTGATGGAGACTTGGACTTGCTGCTGGTCTACGCACTTAGCAAGATGAGGCAGGTTTGTGTTGGGATGATGTTCTAAATGCTGGTTTGGCTGAGCCACTGCCAATCGAGTCAGACGGGCTTGTGTTCGTTCAATCGGTTTCCGCGGCTTCCTTAGTTTGGAAGCAAAGTGGAGGCTCACTAAGATCACTAGTTGGCAGTTGATTTGATCACAAATGAGAGCAGCCACAGCGACACGAGGTACTTCGAGCAAGTGAATGGCAGCCTGCACCTGGTGAATGATCAGGAAAGTCCCTTTCAAACAGTCCTGAACCAAACACTTCATCAACGTCCCTTGCTGGCAGATTGGAATGACGATGGCCGGATGGATCTTCTTCTGATGGCTAAAGTCTTCCAGTGGTACACAGGCACGTTTGAATGCAAACGCTGACCGGCCTGCCCTTCTAATTTCTTAGCGCAGAGTTCATGAGAAGGCTCACACCATGCCATACCGTCATAGACCTCACTTGCCGGTTTAAAAGGAAGCGACAGCGCGCATGTTCGTCAGAATATGAGCTAAGCGTGTTCAGGGCTGAAACGCATCTAGTTTGTTTGTTGGGCATTGGTCCCAATAGAAGAACAGACAGTCAGTACACCAGGAATGTGTACACTGAGCATGCATCTAAACAGCTGGCATTCCTACCCTGCTCAGCTGTTGACACCCCACCACCAATCATCCCCCCATTGTCACCGGGAACCGAGAAGTCTATATAGATTGTTCTACATCGATAAACGTCAAAGGGTGCAAGTTTGTCGATTTCCCTCATGCCTACAGTACATTGAAAAGTAACGACCATTCCAACAACAGACGCAAATAAGTATGTGCAAAAGGGTCGGGTCCTCACAGGTGTTGCAATAACCTCCAACCACGGACGATTGAACCGGCTGAGCCCAACCCAAACCATTGCGCAAGGCGGATTTTCTTGTTCCGTGCTGGTGCATCTACAGCTGGAGTCTGGTTTGAGCTTGGAATGGTTCGATTTGAGCCCAACCTGCGAGCTGTCCAAGGGCTTCAAGGGATCAGGCCGACACAAGCCCTATTTGTAAATGTCAGCTTGATTTGGACTGGGCAAAAACAATGATCTCCCGAGTGTGCCAGGCTGCTTTTTGGAAGTGGAGGGTGAATGCCAGCACTTCCAGCTTCCAAATGCCGCCCTCCTGCTCAATTCATTTCATCACATTTTTAGCACCTCATGAGAATTCCGAATCCCGTGGAGTCCCTGAAACCATGGTAAGCTCAACCCTTTACGCGATGAGCACGCCCAATATTGGGATTCTACAGCAGATTCACTTCTGGCGTCCCATCCCATTGAATCGAGCTTGCAGAAAGGTTGAAAGTGAGTCGGAGAGTCATTCTTTCCAAGAGGTCTGTCATAAGTTCTGCCATGCCCGCCACGAGCAGGTTTGTCCTTAGTTGATATCGACGGCGATGGTGATCTCGATGCGGTCTTTGGAAGCATGAATGCTCCGCTCCATGCTTTGGAGCACAAGGCTTGAGGGCGCACTGATACGAGTATCCAAAATACAAGGTCACGCACAGACGCACAGATGTGTCAGGTTTCTCTATATGTTTGTCGCGGAATGGTGGGACCTGATATTATTCTTGCGGAATTTGGCCCACCACTATTTTCATCGCAACGCGGCCAAAATGCGCCTGAAGTCCACATAATAAAATCTTAGACGAAGACTAAAAACAGAGGAATGCGGCATGCGCACAGACAGATCTGGGTTCACATCTCAATGCTTTGTTTGATTTCACATTTAATTGGAGATCTGAGCTCGAAGGAACCCGTTGACGGGCTGCCACAAATGATCTATGACCTGCGTTCAGGAGGGCGGTGGACTTATTTCAGAGAATTCCTCAAGTCAAAGAAGACCTTTTTTTGTTCTGTTTCACACCATGTTCCGACAACTCCAGATCCAAAACATGAGTAACCCAAACCCTTGCGAAGCACATCAGACCAAGCCAAAGCACATCGAAACCCTTATAATGCAAAAGGCTCATGGCCGTGAACATACACCTAACAATGTGAATGCGTCCACATCGAACAAATTGAACACAAACAACAAAAGCTACACAGATACATGCCAATGACGCAAGCAGCATCATTTGCACATCCACAGCGCATGTTAACAATCCTCCCCACGCATGCCACCCTACCAATTGTGTCCAACGCGCAGAACGTCATTGGCGCAGACACAAAAAAGTCCATTTGCAGATTCCAGCTAAACCGCTGATGTTTTCTTACGAAGGATATCTTTGCCAAATTTGGCAGAATCTGTGGTCATTGTTCTTTGGGTGTTGTGCCCTTTGCTACTCCACTCTGACGGAAAGGAATTCCCAGGCCTTTGCAGCAGGCCCTTTCCAGAGCAGCACACACGGCTGCAACCGGAGGAACCAGCCATGGACTAGAGCAACAGCAAACCCTCTACAGAGCATCGCAGGCCGGCAGCGGAGCACACATCGGTAAAAAATCAGAACACTGCAAAATCAGAATGAACATCAAAATTGTGTTTACAACATGCTAATTTCAAACTAACTTTGTCGACGTCCACATTGATCGTTCGAGATAGCCGAGTGAACGATGGGTCGCAAGACGAAGTAGCATTTCACCATGCCTTGAACACTAAGCGATCATAAGCGATCCCCAAATTCGCTCGACCAACGGCCGATGGCCCTAGAAGTGCGCAAAGGATCTGGTAAATACCTCACTAGTTTTTCGTGAAAGCGGTTCAACACATCACAAGCTCCGCTGGGTCGTAAGCTGCCAAACAAGGGCAATGTGTAAAGGCGGTCTTGGCGAATCAGGATCGACATTCTCAGCAGCGTTCCAAGCAAATTTCCCGCTCGAGTATCAGCTTTATTTGAAAGGAACTTATCAGACAGTGAAATCGTGATAGATCTTGAATGATCGCTCCTGGAAGGTTGTTAATGGCAACCATTTCTTGGAAGAGCCTGCCCGAACTCAGACCTCAAGCTCCTTTTACCTCAGTGAGATTGACCTGGGCAATGTGGTTGACCACGGGTTTCTTTTCTGCACATTTTGGGGTGTGTGGAAACGGCTAGACTAACGCAACCGCCATGCGCGAGCCAAGGTATGTAGAAAACAATTTCAAGCCGATTCTAGCCGACTGGGACATGGATGGAGACTTGGACTTGGCATTGATTCACCCAAAATCCTCGCGTTTCTTCGAGCATCAAAGCGATGGAAAAGTGATTGAGATCAGTGAGCCGCCTTCCAACTATTCATGCCCTATTGCCTGGCGACACTATTTCAGCATGACTGACTTTGATGGCGATGGTTTGCTGGATTTGCTTGGCTTTGGCTCCAATGTCAAGCCCATCGTGTGCCGAAGGGTTGGTTCCGACTTTGTCTTCATGCCGGCTGAGAGCACTTTGATGTTGGAAGGCTTTCGGGAAGGTTTCGGAGCTTCCGCGTTTCTAGTAGGCTTCCCGACTTTCTTGGATTGGGACGGAGATGGAGATGTGGACATTCTGAAGCTTGAGGGCAACAAACTCTGTTTGCAAGAGCAACTCTCCAATGGAACTTTCCATGCTCGGCTGCTTCCCGTGCCCATGGCTCGCGATTTCTTTGCAGTGGACTTTGATGGAGATGGGGATGTTTCTCGACCGAAGCCCTTTTCTCCTGCACATGTGGGCCCTTTAACACGACTAAACATATGTAATACTGTAGGCGTTTTTGCTGTTTTGCACATTTGGGCACAAGTTGTTGTGTTTGAGAACATGGCTAAAGAGAACTGGACAGGGTCTTTGCGCTCTTGGTTGTTGGTCTAATTCAAGACCGCACACTTACGAATGAGCTCGGAAGGAGCCATAGGCACTGAGAATTCAGGGTAATTGCCAATTGCCCTTGAATCTGGTCATTGCAATGTCTAGTGCATTAGCCCAACAACGAGACAGAATGAGCGTTATTTGGAATCACAAGCCCTGAGACGTCTCTCTTCTTCGTTTTCACTCTGATAGTTGACCGCCTTCGCTGGCACAGCAACCAGTATCACACATGTGCCCCTTGCGTTGCTCCATGCAAGTATTGTTTGGTATCGAATTACAAACTGCTGGTCATGAATGTGTAAAGGTTTGTTGGAAACAGGATGGGGCACAGACACACACACACACAAAACCGAGCCCCTGAGAAACTGCATGTGCACAATCCATATCCACGGTAAGGAAAGCATGCATACACATATCATGAGCACAACGGTCTGTCAGTTGAATGATCTTGCAGTGGGAGGAAAGCTCTGGTGCAGTGGGCAGTGGACCCTCTTTTCCGGCATAGGGTGGGCAGACAGGTGGTGGAGTCAATCATGAGTGATGGAGTCAGGGATCCAATGCGGTGGGTAGGTCTACGTTCGGATGACGTGAGCTTTGCTGGATAGTCCAAAGTCTGAGGGATCCTGCTGAGAAGTGATTACGCACTTGCCATCCATGATGTGGTTGGATACATTTGACTCCGCGCGCATCAAGGTCGACAGAGAACCCAACAAGATGGGTATCGGCGATAAAGTGTCGAGCTCCACAGGTTTGCTCCGGGTGTACAAGTTGTCGTGAATCGTTGTGAAGAGTTCGTCGTGAATGCTGAACCTGTTGTTGACGTGGCGCAAATAGCAACTGAGTTATTGTTGTCAGGAGGATGAGGGCGACGAGGAGGAAGGAGGAGGAAGAGGAAGGTGAAGGTACGGGTGCCACATGTGTCGATGAGGGTGCATAATAGCGACGTTTAAAAAAAGGAAGGGGACAGTTGAGAACCTATTCTGCTTTTGTGCGTGACAGTTTCTGGCTAGGCTCCGACGGTCGGAGGAGCAGTTTGCGCAGTTATAGGCGTGGCGGTGGCGCTGCAAGTATGCCACATATAATCGGATATCTTCAACGGAATCAAAGCAGTTGGAGGCCTCTCCAAAGATTAAACCTTGAATTACTGCGCATTAGGCCTTTACTGCCCAACAACCCATGAGACAGCATGCGCGTTATTTAGAATCACAAGCCTTCAAGAAAAGCTAGGTTAAAAAACAGGTACGGCGAAGGGACGTTTCTCTTCAATTTCGCTGCGACATTTGGCCGCCTTTGCTGGCACAGCAACCAGAGTCACACATGTGCTCGCAACTAGATGAAAAAGAAACAGAGTTGGCAGCGGAAAGCTGCTTGCTGACCCGCGAAACCAGCTCAATGTTTGTGGATGTTCTTTTGCGACCCCGTGCACGTGGCCGCACCAGGTTGATCTTATGATGTCTTTGGCCAATGACAAAGGCTGCATTTACTTTGAGCGGAAAGGTGATGGGAGTCTTCAAAAGCACTCGGGCGCCGATAACCCCTTTCACGCTGCGTGTGCTGTTCCGGGTACTTTGACGTTCTTGTCGACCTTGGGCGACTGGAATCTTCTTTGCAACTAGCGGATGTCCACAATGCAGAGCATTGTATAGGGAACCGGCCTGTTGGGGTTGGTAGTTGTTTCAACATTGTTCTCAATGCGGCAGGTTGTAGCGAATCTAGATTCCCCATGTAGCATAATGTAGCATAGGGGTGTTATGTATGAGAGTTGTCGCCCAGCATGTGTTTTCAACGCCTAAGCCACTTCTGGCGATGCCTTTGGTGGCCGTTGGCTTTAAAACTTACGGGTCGTACTGTGTGACTGAAAGGGTATGTGCACGAAACTGAGGAACTTAAAGTAAAAGAGTGGGAAGTAACATTTGTCACTGGGTCGTGCTTATTGAGAAACGTAGAATAGATAGAAAATAGCTACGTACTTGATCATATTGGTGAAGAGAAAACACTGTACAACTGCTGTCATACTGTACCTAAGGAGGTGTTCATAGTATTGATATGTATTGATGAAGTATTTGTGAAATTAAGGTCTTGAACCGTCATTCCACCCTCGAGTGCCCAGTTCACATAGAGTGTGCCGTTCCCATACAGTGTTCGTTTCACATGGGGTGTTCATTTCACATCATTTCACATAGATTCATAGAGTATCCCTTTCACATGGATCAGTTGATTCATGGATGACGATTGCAATTTGTAAGAAATGTTCCTCAACTGGAGTCCGCAGTGACTCGATTGGAGCAAAAGGTATGCTCTCCCTAGTGAAAATTTCAGGCATATCAGAGCGGGAGATTAGGTTGCGAACTATCATTATCTTTGATGGTGTCCCACACTCGTTACATATTTTCCAGTGGCCAGTTTCTTCTCGTTCTCGGTCTTTCAACTCTTCGTTGAAGGGAATAGCAGTATTGGAGCAAAAGGTGAGGGATTTCTGCCAATGATGGCGCAGAATTTTTTAATCATTTCATTTCCAGGGTGTTAGACAATGTTTTGACTTTACGTAACGGGCCTTGTGTTGGGGAGGCAATCACTTCATTGGCTCTGGTGTACACAAAATCATTTGTGTTGTTTCTATCAATGAAAGTTGCATAAAGCTATATAAAGCTTCAACTTTTATGTGTAATTCTGTATATAATTCGGTCAGTTGAAAAACCATTCAGAAGGCTAAAAAAAGAACGCGAGAGGTAATGACTGAGTTGTAGACAAGAAGTGTCCCGACAAGCCCAGCATTGCGGTCCGCAGTCCGCAGCCCGCAGGCACCGTTCGTGTAAACGAACGTTCACGCTCCTCCGGGGGAGGCGGCCAGTCTCCAAGGGATGGAGCTGCATCGCAAGTCACATCATCATTTGGTGTGATGTTGAGAAAGAGCCGTGACTCCTTTGTCAGTTCTTTTATATAAGTAGAGCCATAGCCATAGCTGAAATCGGCCCCACCGTCTCAAAGACTTGGCCTCACCTTCCCTGCAGGTGGCGGTCTCAAGGGTCATGCGTTCCCGCTGACTGTTGGTACTCGTTGTTAAGACATCCGGGCCATATAAGACTCTCACTCTCTCTCTCTCTCATTATGCATCAGAGCATCGCCCAGTTCTTGCGTTTTGTCCAGCCAGGAATGAAGATGGAGAGGTGGACGCCATTGTGGTGCATGAGAAGATCAACCTGTGGCACAACCGGGGAATGAATGAGTTTCTCAATCGCAAAGACTATAGATAGCAGTGAGCCACAACAAAATCCTTGCCAGGTGACCATCGCCTTTGGCGGTGGGTTTCAGGGTATTCTGCCGGGCCAGGTGACCAACCAGTGACCATGTTGCACGGGGCAGTTTTTTTAGAGTTCTAGGCCTACTTAGTTCCTGTTGTTTTTGCAAACACGTATAGTGGCCTGTCAGATCCATCAGGAAGTTTTGAAAGGTGTGAGGGCAATTGTTGGGTTGCAAGGAGAATTCATTGTAGATGCTCCTATGAAACGGCCATATGTGATTTTTTTGCCCACACAGATTTACAGGTGACAAGGGTCAAAAACATGGGCTGAGTCCACCTGATACTCTCCTTCACGAGTATTGCCCTCGTCCCCATGTTCTTGAGGTTCATTGCTTACACGAAGCCGCTTCAAGAGCTCAGCTTCCCTGAAGCAGCGCTCCACTCGCTGCCGCGTGTGAGCTTGGTGGATGTAGATCACGACGGAGACCTGGATCTTGTGGTGCCGCCACAGAATATTGTGGCACAGCTTGGAGTGGTTCACTACAGGCGGGATTCCCGACATGTTTGCGCTCATTGAGATTTTTCGAGACAAACCCAAGCATCTCAATCTGGAACCCACACATGTAGTGAAGGAGGATTACTATGTGTTTGATACATGGGGAGAAACAGTGCTGTGACATCACTCATCATGACTTTCGCTCAAACCTCTGAATAGTTTTGGGATGTTCTCTTCTTGATGTTTGGATATGGGGGCGCCCAGCGTTGTCCCACATCCAAATGAGTGATGAAGAAGTGAGAAGAGTCTTACGGGCGTGATCACAAGCTCACAAGGAGTTTGTTCACTGGGCCACCGTTCCTTGTACGCACCTGGGGCAGTCATTGTTAAAGGTTCTGAACTTGGCGCCTCTGAATCACCACCTTGCAGGGATGCACAAACGGTTTGCATGGACATCCGAGTCACGCGCCCAGAACGAGCGGGGCGAGTTTGAAGCGCCCAACCAGGTACTACGAACGTTTGGACAATGGGGCATTAGAGGAGCGCTTTGGTACTGACAATCCCTTTCACCGAGCACCACAAGGGGACTGGGATCTTTGGGCGACTCTCTTTGGCAGCCACTGAGCAGCCTTGGATTACTGAAACAGTGTTTTGCAAGTTCTCATAATTTGACAGAGTGCTTGTGAGTCAAACACAGAGACAGATTGCATGTTCTACATTCCGAATACAATGATTCGATAGAGAAATGAGGGTACAGGCAGAACCGGGGTTCCACAGCAAAGTGAGGGAACAGGAGGTCCCGCGACAACTTTCACGTAGTGTATTGCTTCGTGGAAATGCTGCGAAACTGATGCTGCTCCACGCAAATGCTAGCAGACGCTATTTGTCGCAAGATTGATTCCAACAATCCACCAGAGTACCGAGTTTGCTTCTGTAGCGCTTCCTTTTTGGGACACTTGGGGAGTGTTGCCATGCATTTACGTAAAGATATGCGTTCAAAACGGATGTGGACAATTGGACAGCTACCTATCAGGTCTCGTTTCTTCTCCAGTGATGCAAAGGTACTGCTTCACATATCTTTTTGATGGTGGCAGTGGGGCATGTGACACATGTCAAAGCAAGCATATGCATGTTTGTCAGAATCATTCAACAGCTGGGATTAAGGTGTCGTACTTCCAACATGCAGGACTGTATATTCTTGTTACGCAAATCCATTCCACCACCAACTTCAACGGAGCATTATATAAAACAAAACCCAGTCAGTCTCCGCATTCTCAACATCAATGTTTACTCCCTTGTTCTTGCCGGGGGAACGCAACGTCCGTAGCGACAATTGTTATTGTTCAGTGAGGCCACATGATTGTAGATATGGACGGTGATGGGGACCTGGATATTGTCCGTGGCCCCTTGCAGTATGCACGGCAAGAAGCGGATGGACGCTTTGTGTTCCTTGAAGGCGATGAAAACCCATTCAAGGGCATTTCTCCTGGGCCTTGGGATTCCTGCACTCTTGGCCAAGAAGTTTTAGATGTCTTTATGTTTGTCCTAGACACGCTATTAAACCGGGATAGCAGGCGTGGGACGCAAGTCCAAGGATTGTTGGACTTTGGTGGATTGGGACGGGGATGGCGACATGGACTTTGTTTTGGTGGAAATTTCCGAGCAACCGCGTGGCAACATTACTAATGACGACCTCGTGTCTGGCAGAGTGTCCATCGAGGAGTATGTGGCAGCCCTGCAACAGCGTGGGAACATTACTTTGGACGACCTCGTGTCTGGCAGAGTGTCCAAGGAGGAGTATGTGGCAGCGGCAGTACTTGGGCAATGAGTGGATTTGGGAAATTGGATGTATAATTGGTAAACACATGTAAAAAACACACACATGTTTGATATTGTTTGATCACATGCTTTGAAACTGTTGTCTCCATGTCCCACATGTGATCCTGTGTGATCCTTGATGACCAAACAGTCCAACTCGAGGCGAGTCGCCTTCGGTTCTTCGAACAGTCCAACTCGAGCTTCACCGAACTGGTCGGGGCGGCCAATCCCTTGGTGTTGGAAGTGACCAGCGATTTGATCGGCTCGTTGTGCCCAAGCTTTGTGGACCTGGATGAGGCTTGGGCAAGAAGTCTTCCAAGTTGGTCGGGATGGACATTGGAGCTACAAGGCTTACGCGCAAAGAAGAGGTAAACAGATTTGCAAAACCAAGTGCAAGAAAGCAATTGGCTTGCTGTAGGGAGCGGCGGCCAAGTGGTACCCAGTCAAAGCATACCAACCTATTTGGAGCGCCGAACATGTTTGTTGAAGTCTATGAGTGTTTGAAGTAGTTATGTTCCATTTCCCACTTATACAGGCAGTAACGATTTATGGTACAGGCATTGACCAATCATCCTACCTCGTGCCGAGTCGGCATGAACTTGCAAGATTGCTGGCTATTTGCTGAGGGCCAAAACGTAATAGCTCAGGGGTCTTCATTCCAACACCTTCAGGTCAGTTGTCGATCATTGTTCCGCAGCATCGGTTTGTCGTGGTTACCACCTGCGCAGCACTTACCAAGGAAGATGGAGACCTAGACTTGATCTTGGAAAACCCGGATGCGGCCTTGATCTACTACGAGCACGGTGTGGACGGCCAATTCACTCTGAAATCCCCAAATCCCTTCGCAGGCGTGTCCATCAGCACAAGGCCAAACCGCAGAAACAGGGCACGTGCTTCTTTTTTTGTGGACTGGGCTGCTGGGACTTCTTGAGAGCAAGGTTTTTTGCTAGTGAACACAGTTGCACATGGACGTAGACCATCACAGATATAGAACCACCATGTTAGCAAGATCAGTAAACATGTTCAAGCGTGTCAATTCCATATCAGTTCCATGTGTCAGGGTTGAAGATCGCAAAATCTCCTTCCACAGAACTCGCCCCCCGGTAACTTAAGGTAGATGACAGCAAGGATGTGAGAGTCAGCTCTTATGTTCTCGAAGAAGCCTTCATATCGTTGTGGTGGGGCGGCACCTGTGTCCACCACAAAGACCCATCCATTCTGTCCCCGACTTATAGGGCAGCTCTTATGCAGTAAGAAAACCAATATCAATTGTCTTGGTTGAATATCACTGCAAGATTGCTGCAAGGATGGCGATGGATTGCTGGATCTTGTGAACTTCGAAGGCACCGATGTGCAGTACTTCCAGCGTGGCGTTTGCGAGCCTGAAGTTTCCTACTGCAGCCTGGGCGTATGCAAGCAACAGGCGCGTTCACGGATTGAACCGGTAGCCGCGTAGCTTAGTTCACAAGGCGGTCCGAGTCGCATTATTTCTGAATTTGCACGGTCCTGTCAGTGAGGCAAGAAGAAAGGTTCTTTCTTTCGCTGTTTCAGACAGGCTCATGCGAATGATCTCTTTGGGCCCGTCCTAGCACTGCGATACCATTCCTAGCATGGTCGTGCTTTCATTCACTTCCAGGCCTTGGCCTCGTCCTACAAATGTCAGTGCCTTGCTGGCGCAGTAGGGGACGATTGCAGCTTGTGTGGTCATTACCATGTGCGTGAAGGCAAGATCTGCAAGAAGCTTGGAACCACATAGAACCCGAATGAACCCGAGAGCCGGGGTTTCAAAGCAAATTCCTTTGCAACAGCCTTTGTGTACTGGTTGCAGTTGTACATGGTGACTCACAGTGTTGCACCAAAAAGACACATGCTGAGGAAGTGCCCAGGCTACATGACCCTGGCCGGAACCTGCAGTCGGCGTGGAGTGTGTGAGGATGATGCAGATGCCAGGGCTCACCAGGCACAATCAATAGTTGGGTGGTAGGTGAACTCTCCACCAAGAAGGCCTCAAATGGTCAACTAAGTGCTTGTGTGCTTGAGCTTTACGGCGCATTGATTTTGTGTTCCATGGTGAATCTTGCAAATGGGCACTTATGGCCTTTTAAAAGGAGCTCCTCTATTTTCATACACACAGTGTAAGGGAAGACCGAGTTGAAAACTTCTAAGTATATGAATGATATTCCTTTCAAAACTCATGACTCTTCGCTAGGATGTGTGCAAGATTGTCGTGAGACTGTTCCCCGCAGTGAGACCATCCCCATCAAACAAATTCCCTTCAGAAGGCAGCCCTGTCAGGGCCCAACTTTGGCAGTATGGATGCGGACAGCAAGGGACCGAGAGACTCAAAGGTGTTTTGTAGCCTGCCCTTTGACCAGCAGCTAGCTTGACAGGAGGCTTCGAATGAGTCGGGCTTCACCGTCCTCTCCGCCCTGGGCACCGGCCGATGCACGTGCTCGGTGTCCTGACGGAAATCTTTGGGGTGGAGAAATCGGACATCGAAGAAGTGAAAATTCCAACCCCCACTGTTGCCACATGGATGTGGTCTTAAATGAGAAGCATTGCAGGCGCTCTACAAATCCGTTCTGCAGCTGGGGAGTAGTGTGCTCACCCATCGCATTGGTGGATGACTGGTGGTGCAGGAGCCAATTCTTGGGACAGATTGATGAGGTGGGACCTTTTGTACTCCTTCAGGTGAAGCCTCATGATGGGTCCAAGACTGACAACTCTCATTGACCGCCCAACCAGTTGGTCCTACCAGGACAAAGTTCCTCCTGTACACTGTATACCATGTGTCATGCCAAGCTATGGTACATCATGCCAAGACAACTGAGTCATACAACATGTCAATGAGTTATACTGCATGTTTGAAACCATACGGTTGATGCCAGGCATAACGCAAAACGTCAAATTTTGTTTTCCCGAATGCGTAGCGGCTAGCGAAGGGTTCTCGTTTAACTCTGGGGGTCTGGGGGTAGAGCCTTGTTCACGACCCGTTGTTTCTAAGTTCGCAACCGTCCGCAACCGTTCGCAACCGTCCGCAGTAGAGCGCTAAGGCGCTGCCATTGGGGGAAGCTTTTGGAGAGGGTTTCGGATGAAAACGTGATGTGTCAGATTCGTGTGAAATAGCGAGGAATCGTGTGGAAATGTAAGATGTTGAAGTGTGGAGGATGATTTCACTGCGCAGGCGCAGCGTTTTGTGAGATCCGCAGCTTGCTGCGCAGTTCCATTGGGATTAGCGTTTGGAGAGTCGTGTTTTTGTGGTGTTGGATGTGGCCGTGCCATTGGGTGTTGGATGTGGCCGTGCCATTGGGATTTGCGTTTCAGGGTGTGGCATCGAAGCTCTGTTGTTCAGCTGAAGTGGCGATTTTGGTGGATGGGAGTGTGCTCAGAACGGGTCGAAATCATTCCAAACGTGTGGTGTGGTGCAAATTTTGTTGAAGCTCACATGAGATGATATTGTCACTTTTCGTGGCAGGCGCAGTACTTTGTGCGGGTTTTGAGGTGTGGCAATGCGATTTTCGTGGCACGCGCAGGGAATCGTGAGGTTGCGAGGTGTGACGGAGGTCACATTTCGTGGCAGGCGCAGTACTTTGTGCGCGTTAGACGTGTGGACGCGGAAAGATTCGTGGCAGGCGCAGGGAATCTTGAGGTTGTGAGTTGTGGTAGAGGTGAATGTCGCTGTCACATTGGGATTGGCGTGTGAGCGGGTGTTGTTTGGAGGGGCTGGAATCGCGAAACTGCTTGGCAGGGCTGCGTGATGTGTGTTCTCCGATGGGTGTTTCCGCTTGACTTTTGGAGGAAGTCTCGAACGAAACGCTCGTCTTGCAGCCCTGAAGCGTGTGTCCTACAAGAGTGTCCCAGATAGAGTGGCCCACAAGGGTGTCCCGTATGAGTGTCCCACAAGAGTGTCCCACAAGAGTGTCCCGCAACCGTGTCCCACAAGAGTGTCTCACAAGAGTGTCCCGAAACAGTCCCCCGCAAGAGCTTCCTACAAGAGTGACCCACAAGAGTGTCCGACAAGAGTGTCCCACAAGGGTGTCCTACAAGAGTGTCCCACAAGAGTGTCCTGTAAGAGTGTTCCACAAGAGTGTCCTACAAGAGTGACCCACAAGAGTTTCCTACAAGAGTGTCCCACAAGAGTGTCCCACAAGAGTGTCCCAGAAGAGTGTCCCACAAGAGTGTCCTACAAGAGTGTCGTTTGGACATATGTAGTTTTTTCGAGCGTGTTTGCATTCGGGTTCGTGGGTTCCATCTTGTTTTTTTGTTTTCTTCCATGTTCCGGGACAGGAGCACTGAAGCATTTACATATAAGTAATTGGCAACTTGGTGTCTTCATGAATATTGTTTATATATATATATAGATGAGATATCTATCTAACTGTGCAATGATTAGATAGAACTGTCCTCTAAGGCTCCCTTCTTTGGCCTTGGCTGCCGTGGGGGTGCTTGCCCTCCTGGACAGCGTTTGGACCGCAATGCGCGAACGGAAGCCACGAGCGTGAAATATCCCAGTTGCTTGGCACCATGTGGCAGCGCATACGTCTGTGAGAGTTGCCTAGAAATATACATGTCTTGCAAGAGAACTTTCAATCACTGTTAAGTAGAAAAACAAGGGTGAATATGCGAGCTTCCACACTCTAGAGAGCACACATGACAGCAGACATATGTGAGCAAAAACATGAGTGCAAATATGAGAGCACTCATGTGAGCAGCAAACACATGCGAGCACAAATACAAGAGCAAAGGTATGAGTGAGCACACACACACATATGAGCGCACACATGAGAGAACACACATATGAGCGCACGCATAAAAGAGCACACACGTGAGAACACACACATTGTGAGAGCACACGCACGAGAGCACAAATATTAGAGCCCACATATAAGAGCGCGCACACACACACACACACGCGAGCACACATGTGAGCACGCAGGTATGAGAGCGCACAAGTGAGAGCGCACATGCACATTTTGCACTTCGAGTTTCAAATCTGCGCTGCACTGCACTTCGATGCCTACAAAACGCTACACCGGCCACGAACTTTGCACTTCATGAATCATATCGCACAGCCTTGCCAGTGCTTTCAAAAGCACATCCAACGGCACATTCGAGATGCGAAGACAAAGCTTTCTCGTGATATGTCTCCCAAATTCTGAGAAGAACGAACCGTATGCCTAAAGTCTAAAGTTCATGATACACTGCACCTGCCACGAAATCAGAACACGCCAAAGACCACCACCAAGGCCAAAGGGCTGCAACCTGCTGCGAAGTTGCATCAAAGCATACAACCGCTCCCATCTCGTGCACCTGCCAAGAAAAGTAACCACCAAGTCCGCAAATGTGCAAGGGCATTGGAAATCGAGAGGCATAACAGTCTTCAACACGTTTGACTTAGTGGAGCTTCGTTGAAATGACGCCGCCATATGTCACGCTCAAGTTCGAAAGCTCATCTCCCCGCATGTGCTACCACGTCCCCCTTGTCTTGAGGGCTGTGCTGCTGTTGCAGACGAGCTGCATTGGACTTTTGGCCTGGCAGCAGCATAGCCACTGGACATTGCAGAGGGAACTGGTGGGGTTGCGTGTTGAGCTCCAATTTTTGCGGGAGGCTGAGTTGGGTGCTGGAGGAGGAGGGGGCGACCAAGATGCAAGCCCTGTTGGGATCGGAAATCCTGTTGACCGGCCAGGGTTTTCGGAGGGACGGGCAGCAGGCTCCCAAAGGGCAGTTGGGTTACAGTGCAGACACGTGCCTTGTTGGCTTGGGCATTGCATTGGTTGGAGTACTTTTGATCTCGATTACATTGGGATATTTGTACAATCAGTTCATTGCCACACGGGTTGACAAAGGTGTGTTGAGCTCCCCTTCAAACAAACAGCACCTGGCACAGAGACAGTTGGCAGAGCTCCGAGATCGACGTCATGGCTTTGCTCAATAGGTACATCCTCATTGAGTACGACATTGGAGGGCCGAGGCTTTGGCACGAACGTTTGGCCCTAGTGCATGTTTCCGGCGACACCTCATAGTAGTCACCCCGGATCGGGATGTCTATGCTGAGGAGCTGGGGCTGCTAAACAGTGACATTCGTCACATCCGAGTCCGGGCTGCGGCAAATGTAGACCCCCCGGGTGTGAATGCCGCTGAAATCTATGGGTTGCCAGCTTGGGGACAAAATGATATGAACTCCATCCGGGATGAGGCCAGACAGTCAGCAGAGCAGGAAAGACGGGCGCTACATGCAGGTGGGCTCGTCGCTGCGCTTCCCATAGAGGCGGGAGTTGGTCCGCCTGCTGGGGCTCCTCCGGCTGCCGCTGTTGTGCCACAGGCCTTTGACCCCAACGTTGGATATCCTGCACAGACCTTGAAGTGGCTTGCAGCAGAATCAACTGAGCAGTACAAACATGGGCAGGAAGTTAGCATTGGGGCAGCATTGAGCAAGGGTGCAAAACTGGCTCAGGCTATGCCGGGCGGGTCTGTGCTTTTTGTCGAGCGCGTTGATGGTGCTGATTTTCATGATTTCATGCAGAAGCCAGCTCGAGGAGATTGCAGGGTCTTGGAGGTTGGCCTCAATGCTTTGGGCCATCCTGAGAGGAGCCTTCGGGAGATTGCCTCGATGTGCAAGGAAGTCCTGGTGAAATGGAGCCTCCCCGGACGGCGAAGTGGTGTGTGAACTACTTGTCGGTGGAAGGGCTCGGATTTGAGGGCCACCATGAGCGCCTGAGACAGGTCGCCAAAGTTGATGCTTCATCGTGGGGCATACAGGAACTCTTCCAGCTGACTACGAGCCTGAGGCAGGCGCTTCTGGTGGACCAGTTGGACGCCTTCAATTGCTATCCGTTGAGATCCAGTTTCGCCGGCTTCAAACCCTGGGCATCAGATATTGATCCTAATCAATATTCTTGAAAAATATCAACAATTTCTATTGATTTGGGCGCGTGCTTTTTCAATAGAAATTCTTCCTCAAAGCCAAGCAAAAATCAATAGGAAATTCAATAAACAGCAACATGGTCAGCTTGATCAAATTTGATCAAAAACCAGCCAAATTTGATCAAATTTGATC